GTTTAGAGCCAGGAAACACCCAGTGAGTCCATTTTCGAGATAACGGAGCATCGTTCATTCCTTCATTCTCTATGTTTGTTAAACATCTCTGTTTTCAAGGTACCTCTGTTTTTAAAGAATACTGTTTTGCCAACTATAAAGCACCCAAGAGCCTTCAGGGATAATATGAAAAGGCAGATTTTATAAAGTAGGGATTAAGGTCCTTTACATTCCTAACAAGCTCCGAGGTGAAGCCAATACCACTGCTCAGTGGATGGCAGTCATGCAATCCTGGAGGATATGATGGGGAACAGGGGCGAACATGGTTCCTACCCTCATGGACTCAGCATTCTGGTTTAGGAGACAGAATGAACAGGCAAACGGGCTGAATGAGATCTTTCAGAGAGCGGCCCATGCTATGAGAAATAGAATCTGGACACAGAGGTGCTGGCCACGGGCTGTTCATGGGATGTCCCTCCTCCTGACGAGATGACAATTGCACTGATAAGGATGTGAAATGGGGAAACTGGGGAGAAGAGCTTTCCAGACCGAGGGAACGGCAAGTGCAAAGTCCCTGAGGTAGAGACACACGAGTTGTGTTTAAGAAAAGAAGTCCAGGGTGGACAGAGTTAATTTAAGCGAGGAAGATAACAGTGTGAAATGAGATCAGAGACCCTACATGAGCACTGGGATGGCTCAGGCCCTGGAGGCCACAGGAGGGAGTTTGGCTTTCAGCCCACCTTTCATGGAGAACTGTGGGATGCGGTAAGTGGGGCAATGATGTGCCTGGAGTGACTTTTTCAAGAAGCTCTTCAGCTGTTGTGTGGATGTGGGGTCTACAAAGGTAACACGGAAGCTGGAGTCTGGGTCCGGGAGAGGTGACGATGGTTTGGATACAGCTTGGGGAGAAGATGGATGAGGGATGTATTCTGGAGAAAGGACATACAGGCTCTTCATTCTTTTAAGAACGGACTGGCTTGAGAGCTGCCATGTCACCTTTGCCCCACTGGCTGGTTGCTGAAATCAACCTGGATCTAGGAAGGCCGTCTGCACCTGGGAAGGGAGACAGGTGAGTGACTGGTAGTTGTAACGCAGGGTCCAATTACTTCCTGAGGAAAGTACTCTGCGGGGCAAAAGAGGGGCAGGACCAGCTCTCCATGTTCACTTTAGCCCTTGAATCCCTTCTCTGAGCAAGTCTCAGGGTCCACGTCGGCAAACTAAAGGGATGCAGTAAATGACAGCTTAGATCCCATTCAGATCAAATGGCCTGTGTTGGCGATGTTCTTTCCTTTGATTTTGTCTGTTTCTCCAGTGTTTCGTGAGGGTTGGGGCACATCATGTGATGGATTCATCTGAGCACCATGCATTGAGACTAGAGAAATAATTCCACTGGGATCAGCTCTGTGCTGATTTAAGAGGCAGGGGAATGAAATGGGGAAGCATCCCATTGGCTGTGTGGCCTTGGGCAAGTTACTTAACCTGTTTTCTCATCTGCGAAAATGGGCACAGTGTTGTTACTAGGATTGAATTTGTTAATATGGGTTAGACATGAACTCATAGTGTCTGACTCAACGGTATATGTCCAGCCATTATTATCTATGATTATTGCTGCCTTGTTGTTATGACTATGACCTGGGTAGTCGGGCCATGGCACTGTTACTGGATCATGGGAAAATCCTTTTTTATCTGAACTGGGTGAATTTATGGCCTACAGTCCACTTGGGGAAGCTACCTGGGGAAAGAATATGGGCTCTGGGGCCCCACAGGTCCGTGTTAACCTTCACCTTCACCGTTCACTGGCTCCAGGATTTGGGAAAGCGGCTTGAGCTTTTATGAGTTGAACTTCAGTTTCCCCCTCTGTAAATTGGTAATTATCATATCTATCTTAAAGCTCAAGGTGAAAATTAGACATGCTGTCTGCTAAGTGACCAGCACAGTACCCAGAACGAGGTGGATCATTTATCAATGGCGTACTCATGCATCCAACAAATATTTGTCAATGGCCCTTTGTGCCAGACACTGGACTAGGTATCAGGAAAGTAATATGCGCAAAGCCACGATGACCCTACTTTTTCGAGAAGGAAAGCACAGGGGATCATGCAGGAGACCTACTGCAGTGATGCTAACTTATCCAACCAGAGAAGAATCCTTTAAGGAAATGACATTTCCACTGTGGTTAGCATTTGGATTCTTATTTGTGGAAATACCCCTTACTTTACCCCAAGGCATCTTGTATCCTCCTATATTTTATGGTCCGTTCAATGTTGACAAATATCATAGACTAATTACATAACACTCTTATCTGCAGTGTTGTCAGAGAGCCCTGCCCTCCCCACTGTGGCAGGCCTAATAACCCTACCCCCAAGGTGACTGTGTCTTAATCTCCAGAACCTATGAATATGGTATCTTACATGGTGAATGGACTTCGCAGAGGTAGTTAAGGTTCTTGAGGTGGGGATTATCCTAGGTTATCTGGATGAATCCAACCTAGTCACATGAATCCTGAAAATAGGAGAACTCTTTTGAGCTGAAGAAGGCGAGTGGTAAAGAACTGATACTTTCAAACTGTGGTGCTGAAGAAGAGTCAAGAGTGCCATGGACCACAAGGAGATCAAATCAGTCATTCCTAAAGAAAATCAACCCTGAATATTCTTTGGAAAGGCTGATGCTAAAGCTGAAGCTCCAATACTTTGGCCACCTGATGTGAAGAGCTGACTCATTGGAAAAGACCCTGATGCTGGGAAAGACTGAAGGCAGGAGGAGAAGGGGACAACAGAGGATGAGATGGTTGGATGGCATCATTGGCTCAACGGACATGAGTTGGAGTTAACTCTGGGAGATGGTGAAGGACAGGGAAGCCAGGAGTGCTGCAGTCCATGGACTCACAAAGAGTCAGACATGGCTGAGCGACTGAACTACAATGACAATACAGAGAGATGTGACTATAGAAGAGTCGGAGAAATATGGTTCTAGCTTTGAAGACGGAGGGAAGTGGCCATGACCCAAGGAATGCAGACAGTCTCTAGAAGCTGGAAAACTCAAGGAGATGGATTCTCCCCTAGAGCCTCTGGAAAGGAGCAAAGCCTTGCTGACACCTTGACTTTCGCCTAGTGATCCCGTGTTGGGGAATGCCAGCAGCCACAGAAAGCTCACACACCCCGTGCGCAGGTGATGATGTCTGCCTTGCTTCCCCTTGCAAGGAGCTGCTGTGATCCCATTCTATAGATGAGCAAACACTGGGAGTCAAGAAGCGTTAGTAGTTTTTCCAAGGCTCGAGAGAGAGAACCTGGGGCCTACGCTCCTACCTGTGGCTGCCTGACTCCAAAGTCGGTCCTCTTTTAGCCCACCATGCAGCTTTGATGGATAACCTCATTTTTCTGCAGAGATCCACAGACAGATCCTTACACCCTTGACCACCAAATGTGGGAGATGCAAAGCAGCCCCTCAAAACTCCTAGGCCATGGCCCATCTGTTGCGAGTCATGTGCTTAACTCTGCTTTCCCACTTCGTTTGGTGGAGCCTGTCATGCCAGACAGAAATCCTGTGACCTAGCTTGTAGTGGATTTTGCTGTAAAGGTATCGCGTGCGGGTGAGTGTATTTCACTATGCTGTTATACATCTCTTCACTCAAGCAGCTGTCCAACATGTTGAATAGTCTTTCATCTTGTCAAACACTTCCCTTCGCCTTTCTACAGCTTTCTCAGCCAACATGTACACACCTAATCAATCTAACGCCACTGTTTCCAGACTTTCAAACCCCCAAGCACTGCCCCGAACACTTTCTTAAAGAGACAGTCATCTCTTTTCGGAGCACGCAAAGAATGGCTTTTCATTAGGGCGTGTTTTCTGAGTGATGTCAGCTGAGATTTTCCATTTGCCTGTATGGCTTCCAGTTCCATCACAGGACCTCCTGATGACAACAGGAAAGTAACATGAGTTGGTGTCCTTTCCTTTCCCCTAACCTACGTACATGTTGATAAAGCAGGCTTCATCCCTTTATTCTCATATATTCGCTTTCTCTGGGGCTTTCCTGGTGGCTCAGTGGTAAGGAATCCACTTGCCAATTCAGGGGACATGGGTTCAATGCCTCGGCTGGGAAGATCCCCTGGAGAAGGAAATGACAACTCCTTCCAGTATTCTTGCCTGGAGAATTCCAGGCACAGAGGAGCCTGGTGGGCTAGTCTGTCTTCTTCTTTAAACATGAAGTCCAAGTTCTGCAAATAAGCATGTAATATCTTCCATCTCCAGAGTCAGAGCTCGGGTAACTCTCTGCCTCCTCTAGCACCTTTCACCTCCCCCACCGCCTCACTCCGCACACTCCTGAAAGGCTGGTCAGCATTATTTTCTGCCTCGATGCCTTGATCTGTGGTTTTATCATGGCTTATCAGACCCGTCTCCCTGATCTGCTGGATGAGCTTCTAATTATCCTTCAAACTCAGTTTAGACATCATCCTTCATAGAAAACCATTCCTTCATCTCCCAGAGTGTATTTCTCTGTCCTTGATACCCCGGGAGTCCTTGCCTGGTCTTCTATGGTACATATTCATAAAACAGGGGTATATGTCTTATCTATTTCTGGGAAGCAAAATGCAAAACAGGCTTGTTCTTCAGAACTGCTTGTGCCCACACCCTTTGTGGTGTAACTTTGCTATTTTCTTCCTCTCTAACTTAGACTCAACCATATAACCTTCGGTCAATGAGGTGTTAGCAAGCATGATGTAAGCAGAGTCTGTCAAAGTACTGATGAGGCTGGACCTGCCTGCCCCCACATCTCTGACACCGCTATGAGAGCTTGCTTGAGGTAGCCCACTGGGGGATGGGAGACAGAGCAGAGCCCTGACATCCCAGTTGCCTGGCCAACAACCAGCCAAACTCTGGACATGCGAGCAGGGCCAAATGAGATCAGCAGAGCTCCCGACACATAAGCAATAAGTGTTTCCTGTTGTGTACTACTGAGGTTTTGTTTGTTCAGCAGCATATTGTGGTTGTGAATGACTGATACACTCCCTCTTGTTTTTCAGTTGCTAAGTCTTGTTTGACTCTTTGTGACCCCGTGGACTGCAGCACACTCGGCTTCCCTGTGAGTTTGTTTGTTCATTGAATCGGTGATGCCATCCAACCATCTCATCCTCTGTTGTCCCTTTCTCCGGGCCCTCGACCTCTCCCAGCATCAGGGTCTTTTTCAATGCATCAGCCCTTTAAGTCAGGTGGCCATAGTATTGGAGTTTCAGCTTCAGCATCAGTCCTTCCAATGAATATTCGGGGCTGATTTCCTTTAGGATTGACTGATTTGATCTCCTTGCTGTCCAAGGGACTCTCAAGAGTCTTCTCTAGGACCACAGTTCAAAGATTCAAAGGCATCAGTTCTTCATCACTCCACCTCCTGTATGGTCCAGTTCTCACATCCGTACACGACTACTGGAAAAACCACAGCTTTGACTAGATGGACCTTTGTCTGCCAAGTCATGTCTTTGCTTTTTAATATGCTGTCTAGGTTAGTCACAGCTTACCTTCCACTCCCTTGTAAATATACACTTTCCCTAAGGGCAGACATTGTGTCTAAGTCCTATTTACATCCTCAGGGCCAGACACTCATTAGAAACTCAATCAATACTTGTTGATTTACTTTCAACTGAAAGTAAAACAGATTTTTAAATTCTCATGTATATAAGAGGACCTCAAAATTGCTAACACTTAAGCTGGAGCTTTTGTTATGCAGAGGGAAAGCTAACATCATTTTTCTCTTATGACTCCAAATTTCAAATTTTCCATCAGTAGATTGATCCTTCATTTGTGTAAAGATGGAAGGGAAACCAGCTCTAGGACAGTCTTGCTGCTCCCCACACAAAGCATGACTCTTCCATCAACCAGAGCTGTGTAGGAGATATTAATTAACACCTCTTATTTTTATTGTAAATACATGACTTATATTACTTAAGGGAATTGTGGGCAGTGAACCGTGTGGAGGACAGAGATCACTCATGAGTTAATCGTTATCCCTAAAGCAGTTAATTGGAGTGGATTGTGAAGCAGCCCATGGATAAAATGATTGTGTTTTAAAGGAATCACAACAAAACAAGAAAACCTCTCTTGTTAGTCCTATGGTTTAGTGATAGACTGTGGATATTCTCAAGTGCACTTCTGTTTCTCAGTATGGTATTTTTCCCCTGAATTTCAGTTTTGCTGCAGATAGATGCACACAAAGAAGGCACTGAACACATAGGTAGATTTGTGCTCTCTTTTAGTCTTCTTAAAAAAAAATATATATATATATATATATATATATATGTATACACACACACACACAGACTTGCACACCCCCACACACATATGTATTTGAATTAGGATGGAAGGAGGTAAGTCACTTCAACCTCTAAACCCCTTTGACATTCACAAGGTGCTAAAAGTCAGCTGGGGTCTCAGCTTTGACGAATTTGCATCTCTTTGAATATGACGCTTGAAAAACCCCAGCGATAGATTAAATTTTGCCAAGGAGAAAATGAGAGAGAGGCTTCCATCTCCTAGGTCTGCTGGGAGGATCTTTATGGTTGATTTACTTTTTTAAAATAAATGTTTCTTTATGTGTTTCCCTCAGTTCCTGCCCAGGCTGCGTCTATCACACAAGCTGTAACTTCTGCCAGTCCTATCAACCAGCAAACAGTAAGTCAGCCTGGCTCTGGAGCAAGGTGAAGGGCTATTTCAATCTGAGCTGCATATACCTTCTGTGTTTTCTGATTAAAATGTGCAAGCAAACCTTGGAATAAACTCTACCTGACACGACTTCTCAAATAATTTATGCTCCTTGCAAACCTCGAATGCAGGATTGATTTTGGTGCCTGTCACTATATTTCAGATGATCAAAAATGGATCAGAGCTTTTAAATGAATTTAATGACCAAAGATGGTCCTGTAGGGGAAGAAAAAATCGGTGAGATCAGAAAACAAAACTCCTTGTCCAAAGCCAGAGTAGAGGGCTATTCTTTTCTTATAAAATGACACATATTCATCATAAAAAATTTGAAAAACAAAGAGGAGAGAAAAATCACTTGCAATTAAATAGGCAGGAGAGATCCATTGCTAGCATGTAGTCATATTTTTTCCAGTCTTATCTGTGTCTCTGTGTTGCTTTCTATAGGTTAACATAAAAATAAGTACAAATCTGTGTCCTGATTTTTATCATTTGCAATATACCAATGATTATGATGATGATGATGGTGACGTTTGAATAGAATTCATCAAGAATTTCCCAAGCACTATGAATATATTGCCTTGCTGGGACCTTCAAACAACCCTATCACATAATTTCTGTTGTTTTCCCTATTTATATATTTTAAAGAATTAGCCTAAGACCACACAACCAGAAAGTTCTAAAGTTGTAACTCAAACCAAAGCAATCTGATTCCTGAACCCTGTGCTCTTAATCACTATTCTGGGAGAGATGCTTTTGCAATGTTATCATAAAATAATCACATATATAATTTTTAGTGGTGGTATAATGTACTGGGAAATATTATTTGCCATATATTTATATTTCATTCTATATAGATATGCCCTCTTGGTGGCAATTCTATGCTATAACATTGTATACATGATCTATTATCTTTACTGCTATTTCTCCATTTCTGGATATTAAGTGGTACCATTATGTTGCTCCCAGATCCACACTTCATGGAAAAAGCACCAAATATCTAGTCAGACAGACCTGTGGTTGATTCTCATCTCTGCAACCTACTTCCAGTGTTTTCTTGGACAAGTTGCTTATCCCCCCTACATCCAAGGCAAAGTAGGTGTGTCAGAAAAATTAGACAAGGTGCCATGGATGTAAATGGTTTAGCATAGCTGTTGATCCATTGAAAGTGGACAGTACATAGTAATTCTTAGAGTTACTAAGAATAATTTACAATGATGATTTTGAATGATAATTATGTGACTGTGAATAATCAGATTCAGTACTCACAATAATCCAGTAAAAGAGGCCTTATTTATCCATTGTGATCGACGAGAACAATGATACTTAGAGAAGTTAATTGACTTTCCCGGGTGAAGCCTGAGTTGTCCCCTGAGAGTTTGATTTCTGACACTCCTTGCTATACTGGGACCTCATCAAAAGTGTCTTAAAAATTCTGCCATTCCCTTCTCCAGGGGATCTTCCTGACTCAGGGATCAAGCCCGCATCTCCTGCATTGCAGGCGAATTCTTTGCCACTGAGCCACCAGGGAAGCCCAATAAATATGGTACTTTATTTTGAAAAAAAAAATTCTGCAGAAGAGTTTAAGGATAAAAGGGAGACCTGAAGGACTTTAAGTCAGAGATGGATAAGATTTTTTTTTTAACCAAGTGGAGAGCTCATGGAATAAAGCAAGAGTGGGGCAAGGAAAACCAGATTAGAGTCTGTTATTGGAAGAGAGGCAAGAGATGATGAAACAAGATTTTTTTTTTTTTAAACAAGTAGAAAGCTTATGGAAAAAAAACAAGAGGGGCAAGGAAAACCAGATTAGAGTCTGTTATTGGAAGAGAGGCAAGAGATGATGGAATAAATGAGAGACTTACTTCGGGCTGGGAAGAAATGGATGGTGTCAAGAACTATGTCAGAGGTATTGCAGGATAGGTGTGCTGTGAGAGATAGGAAGGGAAGAAGCATGACATGTCCAGATTTATATCTGTATTCCTAGACACAGTAAAGCCAACAGCTTAATATACCAAGACAGAACGGAGGAATGGTCCGGAGAGGAGAACTTGTATGCCTTAGCATACATTGGCAGTAGTTTCCTAATCAATACCCAAATGGAACTGACCAAGTTGTTGGCTGTATACATTTGAATCTCAAAAGCAGAAACACACATTTTGTGTGGATGCTTTCAGCACATGGGTGGAGTGAGGAGGTGGGGTTACATAAGAGTATCCAGGAAGAGTGTGAATATAAGGAGACTGAGCGTGGGACCCAAGGAACACATCATTTAGGGCATGGGCAGAAGCTGTGCTGTGTGTTAGGATGGGCTAACCTCTGCTGCAGTAACAAATAAGGTCTGCCACCTGAGTGGCTTAGCAAAACAGAAGTATATTTCTTCCTTGTGCAAAATGTGAGGAGAGTTGGCAGGGGCTCCCTCTATCTAGTGACTCAGGGAACTAGCATCTCTCTATCTTGGGACCCCAACCTCTCAATAATTGGTTTCTAATGGCCCTGAGGGTCATTAGAAAAGACTAGATGCTGGAAAGATTGAGGACAGGAGGATAAGGGGATGACAGAAGATGAGATGGGTGGATAGCAGCACCGACTTAAAGGACATGAGTTTGAGCAAATTCTGGGAGATAGTGGAGGAGAGAGGAGCCTGGTGTGCTGCTGTCCATCGAGTTTCAAAGAGTCAGACATGACCTTGTAACTGTAAAAAAACAAAACGGTCCTGAGAGCAGGGAAGAGCATATGCAGAAGCTCCTTAATTACCTTTTAGGGAAGGAATTCCCTGATGGCTTAGTGGTAAAGAATCAACCTGCAATACTGGAGATGTGGGTTTGATCCCTGGGTTGGGAAGATCCCCTGGAGGAGGAAATGGCATCCCACCCCAGTATTCTTGCTTGAAAAAGCCCCATGACAGAGGAGCCTGTTAGGCTACAGTCCATAAGGTCACAAAGATTGTTAGATAATGCCAGCAATGTCAGATGTGAAATCTTGTGCTGAAAAACAAGTTCTGGACATCACCCACAGGTGGACCATGGGGTGATATCGGTCCTGCTTTGACTAGGACTGGATCAGGTTTTGAGCAGAGCAGAGCCTCCAAGAGTAAAAGAGAGAATCCAGCTGAAGTGTCCTGGGAAAGGTTTCCAGTCTCATCCTCCATGTAAATGATGGGTCTGGCATTTAGGTCATGGTGGCTCAGATGGTAAAGAATCTGCCTGCAATGCAGAAGACCCAGATGCAATCCCTGGGTTGGGAAAATCCCCTGGAGAAGGGCATGGCAACCCACTCTAGTATTCTTGCCTGGAGAATTCCATGGACAGAGGAGACTGGTGAGCTACAGGACATGGGGCCACAAAGAGTCAGCTATGACTGAATGACTAACACCTTCATTTTCTTTCACTTTCTGTTCCCAATGACCTACGTCATCAAGGACCAGCCATTTATTCCTCTCTGGGTGTTGGTTTCCTGATCCCTGAGTGGGGAGGGAGCAGTGACATGGATGATCCATCCATAAGGCTCCTTCCCCTTCTAAAACTACTAACCTGTAATTAATTGAGATATTGTAAAACACAGCACACATTAACACTGCTGCTCTGCAAGCTGTTACTTTTATTAATCATGGGCAGCTCTTTCCCACACTCTGAGTTAATGGGCACTGACTGCAGGTATAGAAATTCATTTAGAGGGACATTCAGAAGGGGGATGCCATATCCAAACCACATAAAACTTCTCATGAAGTTTAATTGCAATGCACTTCCCCAGAAAGGCAGAGCTGTTATCAAGTAAGAGCAATTCTCGAACGCACGCCGAGTTTGAAAATAAAACATAACACTGCTCATAACCATGCTGATGATAGTAGGAAAACTCAATTGCTTGAAGCATTCAGAGGTAAAGCTTTCCTCCTTGTCCATTGGAGGAGCATCTCATCTGGGCTGAGCAGGCTCTGTGTCTCACCCACGTTAGGAAAAAGGAATATGGCAGAGTTTGTCCATGGGGTTAGAGTAAGGAAGGTGGAACTTAGGTGTCAGGAGCCTTCACTTTGCCCTTCTAAAGAGGATTGTATGAGGAGCATAATTTATAATGACTCAAACAACCAGAATTCTCTTACCCATTGATTCTGCTTACCCAATCCCAGGGCAGTCTCACTTTCAAGAAGACACTCTGTACTTTTTGCTCTGTACTTTTTGTATTTTGGGTTAGCCAGTCATGTATCAATAAACTCTCTTGGAAGGAGCTGAGCAGGAGGCAGTTTCCAGTGGAAGCTTGCCCTGGAAGAGGTAAAAGGAAAGGTCTTGGAAGAGAGAGACAAGAGTGGAAGGCAGCAAAGCCAGCCATTAGCTAAGGATGTGCATGGTGGGGTGGGGAAAATGCACTTCCTCCCACACTTCTGGCCAGCATCACACCCACCCAACGGGGCCAACAGGACTGGGATGAGGAAGGAGGATCTGAGGCATGTAGAAATGATGGGACTTGCTGTGGACCACATGTTTAATGCGTAGAAGGTCTGAGCCTGGAATTCAGGCTCCTGGAACAGGACTGGGGTGAGGAAGCATCGGGCTACTGGTCACCCCAAAGCCTGCGCTCCTGCTCTGGTGTCTTCACGGCCACCACCTCTCCCTGCTCCTCCCTGTTCTTCCCTCCAGGCCGCTGGGGCTGCTTCCTCTGCTCCTGCTTTTGCTGATGCTGCCATTGAGCTCTTAATTCCCCATCCTCCCCTTCTTCCTGTCACTCCTCTTACTGCCATGACTTGCTCTTTGCTTCTCTTTGCTAGGGACTCTGATGGGCATAGGGGCTTCCCTTGAAGCTCAGTGAGTAGAGTCTGCCTGCAATCCAGGAGACTCAAGTTTGATCCTTGGGCTGGGAAGATCCCCTGGAAAAGAAATGGCAACCCACTCCAGTATTCTTGCCTGGGAAAATCCCATGGACAGAGGAGCCTGGCGTGCCACAGTCCCAGGG